ATATATTGAAATTAGAAAACAATTTTAATTAACTTATTATATTCACATTTATATTGTTATAACAGTTTAAGAATTTAGCATACATTTTTATAAATGTAGTTAATAGATAGTATAATTTATATATATATAAAAAAAAAAAATGTTTAGAATAAAAGTTTGATGTTAAAGAAAAAATAGATAATTTTAATAAAATTTAAAATGACGATTTGAATACATTAATGTAGCCAATAATAAAATAATTAGATTAAACCATAATTGAAGTAAGATATTTAACATGGTACGTTTTAAATTTGTTTTTCAACTGTTTTATCTTATTTAACTTAAAATAACTGATTCACAAACTGTGTATTTATATCTAAATATTTGATAAACAAATTATTTATTTAAAGGTTTAACTCGTCCTCTATTGTTTTCTATTTAGTTATTAAACAAGTTTGGGTATTTTAATAATATCATTTCAGCAGCTGAAATTCGCGTATTTATAGTGAATGAGCAATAAAATAAAGTTCGAACAATCTTCTTTAACAGCTATCATTTACTTTAATTATGTATGTTGTTATAACACAGATAAATTAATTCAAACATTGAATATGTAGTAATTTAAAATTTTTGTAATATATTATGATTAATTGCATTTAGTTCTATTATTAGTTTACAAACAAGATACAAGTATTAATAAATTTTTAATTTCCGATGGGTATCCATTGTGCATTTTATTATTAATGTTAAAAACGGTATGGTATAATATCGTATCAATAGAAAAATATTGAGCATGGATTTTATTCATATCGTCAATGTCATAAGATTTTATTGTGCAACGAATCAAATAACAAAGTAAATAAACTAGGGCAAAAATAATTCCATTTTTTATTTAAACATTTATTGACTCTTCTTTTTTAAAATTAAACAACGATAATAAAATATTCCTTTATTTGGTGTTTTGCAAATAGTACATAATAATATATATCATACATTAAGAATGTATGAAAAAAATATAAAATATATACTCGTATTTATTAACAATGTGTTTCATAATACATTTTTATTAACATTATTTATCATTTTATTAGTTTGACAATTGATAATTTTTTTTTTTTTTTTTAATTATAGAATGTATCCCAAAAGATATACGAAATCAGTAGATAATCAATTAAAGTTGTCAGACATTTTTTTTGTATTAACATAGATATGGATTTATTATTTCCTAGATCCATAAAAGGTAGTAGTTAACGTTGGTTTTTTATTAAAGAGCTCTAGTGTTGTGTTTGAAAATATATTTTTTTCAATGTGTTTACAAACACATTGTTCTGCAGAATTGTTACAGCATTATACAAACACACTAATTTAAAAAAATAAAGCAAGATAAAGAATTATAAAATCGAAAAATACAACTAGTAAAAAAAAGTTAACTATATTGCTGGGTTAAACCTTATGAATTATGATAAAGTGTTTTTAAATTTTTAAATTTTTCCGAACACGAATAATAGTATGTCAAGTACAAGAACTTTAGATATTTTTCATTTTCAAAGCACTGGGTTTAAATTATAGTTTTTTTTTTCTATTGTTTAAAAATGTATTTATTTTTATTATTTAAAATGTATTGATATTTCAGTCATACTACTACCACCTTTAAGCATTGCTTGTCATGATAATGTTCACTATATTTTCTATATTTTATTTATGATCAAATAGAAAATATTTTTGTTACGTGTATGAAATAATAATTATAGGTATTTACTTGCTAAACAAGTGAAGCCATATTAGATTAAATATAAGCTTTCATTGAGTACATACAAATCTGAGATAAGTTTCGAAATCAAATGACATATTATTTAAGATAATTAAAATGATAATTGGAAAATATTACCTATCAATTTTTAAATTTTATATCGATTATAGTTGCTTCAACGGCTTCGCCACAAATATTATCTACATTATATAATAGGTACCTATTGTATTATTAATATTATTTAAGAATAGTATGGAATATTTAAAAACCCAATCCAACCTATTTATTTTAAACTAAATTAGACATATGTTTCATTAATAATATTATTTAATTTCAATAACATTTTTATATTAAGATATAAAAATATATGCTTAAGAGCCTGTTTCAAATTTTTTTTGTTTGAAAATCTGATTACATGAACTACAATATAATATAGTACATAATTATGTTATGTGTAATTATTTTATTACTAATTCCACTTCAATTAGTTTTAATAAAGGATTTTTCGACATAAAAGAGAAGAGCTATTGAAATTTCAGTTGAAACTTGAAAACAAATTAAATTCACTTCATACTTGTACGCATCTAATTTAAATTTTTGCCACGCTAAGCATGCTTAAAGAAACTGTATTTAAAAATTTTAAACTGTGAATATTGTTAAAGTGCCTATTCATACATTTTAAATAAAAAAAAATTAAATTTGTTTTGTTAAAATTACTAAAAGTTTTGTAAAATGAAATTGTTTATGTAATATACGATTAGATAATGAAAAAACATTTTTTTTTTTTTTTTTTACCGAGTAAATTACATTTTACAGTAAAATTTTAATTTGTAGATTTAAAATATAATTTTAAGAGATAAATTTTAGTTATCATATTATTACTATGGCAATGTTTAACCTTTAACTAAATGATTTATTAGGTCAGTAAGTTATTTAATCAATTTTGATGTGTACCTACGAGTTATTTCAGTTTAGGAGAAATGAAATATTCGTTTTCCGATGAAGTAAAATTTCAGCGTTTATCAATCAATAGATAATAATATTCACTTAATCCATTGTTTATATTCTTAAAAGTTTATATGAGTTCTATAGATTATAGATCGTAAATAATTTATTGAAGATAGATATTTTATTATTAGAAAATTTTTTATTTTATTGTTATTTTTACCGTTTTCTATAATACGGAACGAAACATGAATTTATCGGAGTGGAAACTCCGTTACAAATTTACAATATACTTGAACACACACCCGATGCACATATTACATTTCACATTGATTCACGTGTAGAGTTTTTTTGGCCTCAAGTTTTCTTTTTTTCACTCTTACGTAGAGTTTATCTATACATGTATATTATATAAATGTACGATGTAGCTCAACCGTGGCCGTGGCGAGAACACCGTTTCGTCGACAAAATCACTTCACGTGAATGTGGGTCGACCCAAAAACACAGGGTCGTTATCAAAACGCTTATAGAATTATTTTATTCCTCGCCTGCACCGACCTCGATATCGCGTATTTTCACGTGTATATTATGTGTACTAAAATAAACCATATATATGGCGTTGCAATCGTGTTATGTAAATATATCTATGTAAATATAATAAAACGTAGTCACTATAACAGTATAGGTGTAATGCAGTTAAAATATTTATCGCATATCATTAACCGGTGCAGTAATCTACCGCAAATGTATTAATATACCAATACATAATATAGTAAGATTCATTCACTATATAAGCGCACATAATAAAATTATATTATTATGGTACCCTTTATGATGAGATCCGCGCATGTTGCAATTCTCTCTCTCTCGGGATATTCACGTGCGTCGTCGTCGCATTGAAAGTAAAAAGAAATATATTGATATAGATATAATATTTAAGTATAATATGTATAAATAAAATGTCAAAATGTAAAAAGAAATCCCTTTCGTTCGATACGTGCATATATCATATACATAATATATTTTATAATATATGTATATAAAACCGGACCGGACGATAACGTTTCGGCGTGGCGTATAATATATTATAATAAACGCGCGCGTGAACTCTGAGAGTGAAAATCCAATTGTCCCCGCCACCGTCCTCCAGTTCCCAGTATCATATCGAGGGCACCACCATCGTCTGCACCACCGCGACCAGCAGCAAAAGTATACTCCTCTCCTGAATTCCCCCCTCCACTAACGTCATTCGATATACACACATACACATACATACACTCACACTCACACAAAACCCAACCGACTCTACTCTGTTACCCCGAGGGGCCGCCCTTTCTCGCACACAACCGGCAGCTACCGCCTCCCTACTCGTCGTCCTCGCACCCGGTGCAGAAACGCGTCCAGCCTATTGAACCACGCAGAAAATCCAAATACACCGTGGCGAGGGCGGGACTGGAACGCCGCCGCCGTCGCTGGAGCGCCTCTCTGTGACCCCGAAACGTTTTGCCCGGGCATCGGCGACGACGATGACTATACGATGATACGACGTAGTATAATATACTATAGTATAAAACCCCCTACCGACCCTTTTTCGAATGGGGGTAATATTCGTACACAGACACGACCGTTATCATCCTACTACCCTACATACGCACACGACCGCTCAACATCTTCTCCCCAAACTCGAAGACCACTCACCAGAACGCGTACAGCGATACAGCACACCGCGATTAAGAACATACCGTGTAATTTGGACGCGGGATTTCTATTTTCACGGTAGATCGACCATTTCGTGTGCATAGATTATGCCCAGGATCGTTGTAAAAATTCGGATATTCTGGGGGGGGGGGGGGGGGAGAAGTAAAATACCGTTATTCTATACAATACAGTGAAACCTCTAAATATACCAAACACTGTCGCTAAAAATGTCGTTTCAAAGGCGTCTGTAAAGAGAGGTTTCACCTAAAATAAATTAAAAAAAAAAAAAAAAAAATGTTCAACGAGAAAGAGATACGCGTACCCGGGTAAAACCCCGACAAACACCACGGGCCGCCGTCGCCCCGTCGAGGGGCCGTATAGCTGACGCCACCGGCATAAGGGGCGGGCGAGACAGTGAGCAGCGAGTGAGCGAGCGAGCGCGCCGGTCCGGTATTAGAGGTCAGTATTGATCCCGGCGGCGCGCGGCCCGTTTGACTGCACACACAAAAGCGACCCGCGCGCGCGCCACCGCCGCCGCCGTCGCACGGTTGTCGGTTTTCTTGCGCGCGCGCGGCGACGGGACGGCGCGCGATGGCTGGCGGTGGGCGGGCGGCCGGAGGCTTATATACATGCAAGTTCCGGGGACAAGCAGCCGATCCGCGACAGTCGCTCGTTACCCATCGACGGTGTCGCGCGCAGAATACACCGTGTGTGCGTGCGTGTGTGTGTGTGTGTGTGCGTGTGTGTGTGTGCGCGTGTGTGTGTAATGCGTGTGTGTACGAGTGTGTGACCGTCCGCGGCCGCTCGACGCTGGATTCGATAGTATAATATCGTAACGACATTGGCAGTTTTTATTTTTTTTTTTTAATATACACACACACACACACTAAGTGACTTTGGGACACGCGTAATACCTACAACAATAATAATATTGTTATTAAACATTCGTGATATGTATTACGCATAAGCGATGCCTTTATAATATACGTACGCACACGGTTAGGTGCACTCGCGAACTCAATAACTTACACGTCTACTGCGGAGTGTTGACCGCGCGAGAACACCACCACGATACAGCGTCATCGCGTATATAGTAGGTGTAAGACGACGATTAAATCTGCAGCGGAAGAAGTCTTCGTCTCGAATCGCGAGTCGCTGTCGCCGGATCGGTTGAGCATTCCAACGATCGGTCACTATACCTCGGCACAGGACTCGTTGACACGCACGGCCCGCGTCCAGTCGCGCGGCCGTCCAACGCACGCGTCCCGTCGCGTCAGTCCACAGATCCCGTCGCGGCAACACCCGCATCGCCGCCAACACCGGAACTACCGACTGGCCATGGCCACAAGGTAACAGCGCGAGCACGCCGGCTGGATACCACTCGTGTGGTACGCGACGACGAGACGTCGACCACGCCGTGGTATTTGATGTTTCCGGATCGGACGGCCCCGGCTAGGTACAATGCTTCCGGAAAGGCAGTGCTGTGCGCAGCTATGCCCGGTACAGGCGACGACGATGCCGCCGAAGACCGAGTGTCTGCAGGACCGCAAGTGGTGGTGCTTCCTGCTGTCCAGCGTGTTCACGTTTCTCGCTGGACTGCTCATCGTGCTCCTGTGGCGGTTTTTCGCGTTCCTGTTCACGCGCAAGCAGCCTGCCGAGCTCGCGGCGCCCGGTTGTCCGAACAGCGAGCCCAAGAAAGAGCCAAAACGGCAGGGCAAACAAGAGTTCGAGGGCACATTCATGACAGAGGCCAAAGACTGGGCGGGCGAACTGATATCCGGACAAACCACTACCGGGCGGATATTGGTGAGCATTATATATTTGAATATGTTAAAGTATAATTATTATGATTATTGTCATAAAATATTTATCATTATTACAATAATAATATTATATTGTTACCAGTATATAGTTGCACATTTGCAACCTATATCACAAAATCGTTATGTATAATATATATATATATATGTTATGTTGAAGAGTAACCATCTACTAATAATAGTATGCTTTATGATTGATAAACATATTGTTATTGTGATAGTGTAGAAAGAGTTTTCGCAGTGGTTGGAGCCAGAAGTTGATCGATTCGGTTAACTAAACGTATTCTGTAGAAAAACCACGTGCCTCGAAAACTTTTAAACGCTGATCGCGTGTTGATCACACATATATTGTAGGAATGGAAATCGTTATCACTATTATTGTAATATATTTTAATATTACCATAATTCTATTGCGTTTATTATTTGAATAATATTATTGATATTACCTATCGGCTGAACTCTCCTCAATCGTCGAATATTGCACTTTACATGGGAAAATAATATATTATTTTATCGGTAAACACACCAATATGTCAATATTGTGTTACTGAGCTTGCGTGTAAAAATTCTGTGGGCATTAATATAGTCACACTGGGTTATCAAAATTTCGAGTGATACATTAAACAACAATATTTCTTATTGAAATGTATATATTACTAAATTGTAAGTTCAAAGAGACTATAATGAAAAACCTGTAAAAGCGTATAAAGTAACGTTCTTTATATCTCTGCTGACGTCGTCATAATAGTCTATGCTTCAAATTTTGGAAATAATTATTGGCCGACAGCTAGTGGTGGACTATTTCGATGGAACATTGAAACTTTTTCGGCAGACCACTGATGTTAGTTGGTTCTTAGATACAATAATTAATAACTAGATACATTTTTGTTTTATGATTATAGAGAAAAATAGATTAAATAACATTGATGTCAAAGAAGTTATTGGCCATGTTAAAAATTAAAATGATTTGTTAAATAAAAAAACTATGTAAATATTATAATTGTAAACACAAAATATGAGTTATTTGATAACTAATTTTGGACCAATATGTTTTTAAAAACTTCAAAATAAGCATACATTTATATTTTTACCCTAAATTATACTCTATTTAGTGATTAAACATTTAAACATATCCAGGATGAAACAAATGTTCGAATAATTTCACGAGTTTTCATAGTTTACTAGTGTTGACGATTCGTACACGCGTACCTTTCAATCTAAAAATATTTTAGTCAATTGTACTCGAATAAATAAATATTGTTAACAGCCCGTTGACAAAAAATGAAGTACGCTTAAAGAAGTTACAAGTCTATATTTTATAGCCTTTTATTATCTTTTTTATTAAGCTACTTCTAAGTTTGCAAACCATTTTTTAACGATTATGACCTACATGATTCCATCAACCGACATCGTGTTTGGATATGAAATAACAATAAACTTGGAAAAAATGTCGTATTTTATTCAAATAACACGCGGTGTCGGTTTGTACCACGCAAAAATAATTTTGACAAACAATGTATATGTTTGTGTGTGTGGGTGATTGATGAAATTATGTATTACTACATAATATTTAGGGTGTTCAATACGTTTGAAACGGTCATTAGACTAATTGGAACTGATAATCGATAATACGAGTATGATAAAATTAATAAGGTTATTAAATATATTTTTACATTTTAAATGTACAACAGTTTTATCCGCTATTGCTCCATGTAGATATTAAAATATGTATACAGTTATTAAGAGTTTTCAAACTTATTAAATACCTTGTATGATAAAGCGATGTATGATATAAGGTTCGAAAAATTATAATATCTATTAATATATTATTATATCATGCAGATATGTTTTTAATGAAAGAACTAAATCACTACAGAAAGATAAAACTTTATATTGTCGCATGCAGATATCTCGGGTAACGTTTTTGAAGTAATTCTATATCATTTTCCAAGATTATTTTTCATTGTTTTATTATTTTTTTTTTTTCAACAAAATGCGTAGAAGCTCAAAAGTTTCAGTTTCAAGAATGAGAGTAAAATTTTCGAGTTATTATTATAACTTAATGTTACTCGAATGCACATGATGATTGCTAAAGATTAAATGTAGTGTTTGCGTTTTTAGACTATCAGAACTTTTAATTGTATTTATCTTTAAAAAGTACATACAAAATATAAATAATAATATTATTCTAACCTTTTAAAATACAGATAGCTGATTTTGTATTATATGGTGTTTTGTTAATCAAAACGCTATTCGATTAAGTTTGATAATTAATACTTATACGTAATAATATAAAAGTGTGATTTATAAACGAATAATCCAGTAACATAAATTATAAATTTAAGTTTTAGAACTTTAATAAAACTTTATTAATTATACCTAAAGTAGTCAATCTAAGTTGAGTAAACAAATTTGTGATTTTTAATCTTTTTAATTTTTTAAGAATACAAATCTGATTTTAGACTTCTTATTTGGTATATTATTTCAAAATATTTGGGTACAAAAAACTGCAGGTGTATTATATAATATGGATATTACATAAGTTTGTTTAGTAGGAATTAGTACATGACAATTTATTTTGTTAGCTTTTTTATTGCAAAAGTTTACAGATAACGAATATTAAACTCCAAGCTATAAAATTCCTAGTTTAAAACTATTTATAAATATTTTAAACAATGTAGCGTTCGTAAAATCAATGTATAAATTGTAGGTATATTATAGTTCTCTACAAATGTTTAAATTATTTATAAAAGTTAATTAAATGATGAAAGATTAGCGATGTTAATTATTTAATATTCAAAAAATATCTATTTTTTTATGTTATAAACAGTATACAGAGACAATTCAGAGATCATAATATATGTAATGATTTGTAAAAGTTTCTTTTTTCAATGAACTGTTTTTAAAGGTATTAGAGATAAAACCTAAACAAAATACACAATAATAGTTGCAAATTATAATAGTCTTACACTTATACAAAATATATGTATAGTCTTTATTTATTTTATTTACCTTCTTCATATGAATACACAATGATATGATATAATAAATATTATGTATTTGTAAGACAATAGAGGTTTTGATAAATTAGTCAATAGCTCGAATGCTTGATGGATAATAAAATTTTTTTTTTTCAATGATATTGATATCATGTCTCATGTATATTTTTCACAACTGTCTATTTGAATTTATGAGTTGTCGATGAATGGAGTATTGTATTTTACCGCTCAATAAAAATAAAAGGTATGACAAAAAAGAAAAGGATAGGTATATAATTTTCCGAACGGCAGACACTATCGATCAACCATTTTTAATTAAATGCATTAAAAACCAACTATTTTTATTCTATTACGTTTATTCGCACTATAGAGGCAGAATATAATTTAGTCATTCAGCGGAATGATAATGGACAATTAATAACACTACTCCAGTTTTAATGTTTTATATAAAACGTTCAATTAATTAACTGTTTGTTACTATAATACAAGTTTTACACGGTAATATTTATGTACCTACCTGTATTGTGTATACATATACCTAAGTACACAGACACACAGTCGTTTAATTTCAAGTTGTATCCGATACATTTCAACGAGTTAAACGCGCGTAACTATTATGTTTGTGAAAATCGTGTACTTGCGCGATTATTCAAACTTCATTCTCATTGAACTACCCACGTACTTTATGACTGGAAATAAATCAAGATCTATTATTATACACGACTATTATCGCGTAATAACAGACACATTAACACAATACCTACGGACTCGGCAAGATACCATAAAACATGTCTGTAGACCATAATTATTGAGATTTATAACGCACAAATACTAATACATATCATTTTGTATCGTATTTTTTTTTTTTAGTATTATTTTTTAATATAGTAAAATATCGTAATAATTGTAATCTTTGTTTATTTAAAATCATTATTTTAGGTATAAGTTGCTATTTAATTAGTACTTTATCAACAATGCGATATCGTCCTGTATAACGTAATAGTCAATATTGTTCACGTTTGTTATTCGAATGCTTTAATTAAATAATAAAGTATAATAAAATAAACAATATAATATTATGAACAAAAACTTTTATAGTTTAAAATATTATAAAAAATGATTTAAAAGCTTACAATCGAAGAAAATCTTAGTATGTGCTGGATTAAAAACAATAATTATAAAGTTCTCGGCGCATATCCAAAATTCAAGGTGCTTAGACATTTTTCATGCTCTGATTTTATTTTTAGATTTGTCTCTTTTAATTTTAAATATATACATTATACATTAATATATATATAATATAATATAATATAATATGTTAAGCAAAGTATTTTAATTGAAAATGTTGCTTATTTTCAATGGTTTTTAATTCCGTTATAAGTTATAATTTTTGTAATACTTCGTTTAAATATCAAATAGTTTGTGAAATATTTTAAAATATTCATTTTATACTTGAACTTAGTGAAGTTAAAGTTTTCTACAAGGTATAATTTTCAAAATGTATTGAACGGTTTTATACAACTATTATCAACTTGACTTAAAAAAAAATATTACAAATACTTCCTATATTTATAAGAAGAATACTTAATATAACAAAATATTAATTCACTTTACAATATAATACTCACCGACAAAAGAGTTAATTTGTTTTCTGTTTTGTAAAACGTTTAAGTCATTTTAGCTATACTTGCCAGAATATAAAATAGTTCAATTATAAATACTATACTAATTAATCTTCATTATCAACAAATATGATTCAAAAATCCATAGTAAAATAATATTAAAAATATCCTCAAAAATACCAACGTGCCTACATTATATAATAATAATATAATATATATGGCGAAATATATATATATATTTAGGTTATTTAATAATTAGTGAAAAATATAATTGTTTATAATAATTATCCATATTTTATATAGGTAATATTGTTTGATTTTGATATGTTACAAAAATATAGTTTATTTTATTAACTTTTAGTAAT